AAAGGACACAACAAACATCATATCAACTCACTCGAGCGGCTAAATCCAGCGTTTTGCATAAATTTATTAGCTCTTGAGAACAGGCTCAGAAGGAAGGGATAAGTTCCTGGGTAAATAATACTATATTAAAATTTTAAAAAAGAAGAAGGGAAAAAAGTCTCACGAGACTTATGGACGAACTGCTCTGATGTTAACAAGGTTTCCCTATCTTGAACAAATTGTAATGCCTTGCTCACAATGTACCTGCCTTGTAAAAAGCCACGAAAGCCAGCAAAAAAACCTGTTGGGTATGCGACCAAAGTCCCACGTTGATTAGAAATGAGAAGGATCAAGAATATATAAGGATGAACAAATATCTTCATTGGTATGAGATCTTTTAGGTATAATTCAAGAGCAAATATATGAGAACTTAGATACAAAATAAAGAATACCATATTAATGTAGAGATAAATAGTCTCCGTATTCCTTACAAAACCAAAAAAAAAAACACCGTTCAAGTGTCTATGTGAACAGCACCATGAGCCAAAGGGTGCAGTAGTCACACTGCATCTGGCTTACAAACAGCCACCAAAAAGAAGGAAAGGGCAAAAGAAACTGTAGCTGTGAATAGTGACATGAGTCAAGGGCCACAGTGTTTCGGCCTTCCAATGAAAACCCAGCTATGCCACACCCGACCACGACAAAAGAGAAGCCAGACGAAGCCAGACCAAAAACAAAATTAAGCCAGCCGACAAAAACTCCAGAATACATCAGCAGGCTATCTGTTTGAGAACTGTGCCAATCCACAGTTCCTTAATTCTTGGTAAACAGGATGTATGCTTTAGCTTTTGCTTTTTAATTTTAATATCTTTTTAATTAAAAAATAGTATAAATAATATTTTAAAAGTTCCAACTCCACTTAATAGTTTAATAATTTAAATTATTGTATTGAGATAATGTTTTTGATATAATATTAAAATTTTAATAATTAAATAATTATAAATTCAAATTTTATTATTTCTATTTATTTGATAAAAATTAATATTAAAATAGTTATTTAATAATTATAAATGCATTCATTACACATGCCTTGTAATTTGTACTATTGTTAATTTAAGAAAAATGCTTTTTGTTAGGGTTTAAAAATATATATTTTTAGCTAAAATTGTCATTTAATGAATTTTAAAGTATAAAATATATAAAAACATAATATTTTATTTTCTATAAAATCAAGATTTAAAAAATAATTATATACAAAAACCAGAAAAACAGGCAAAAGCTATTTAGCTAGCCTAATCTTTGATATGCCCGCACAAGCAATCCTAATCTTTAACACCAAGCCAATTCTCTATCAATCCACTTGACTCCTAGCCAAAATTTAAGCCACGTATCTAAAAAAATGGCGTGTATTTTTAGATTTTTACCTGTTGGATGATTTTAACAGACTTCTGTTGTGAAGGTAATTCCCTCATTTAGTGTTTTCAACACAAGAATCCTGCCGATCATGATGATCTTCTTAAATGAGGGCCAACAGGTTCCTTTCTAGAGGTGGGATGAGGACATCATGAGCAGGTACGAAATGGACCTGGTTGAAAATATTCAGCCTTCAAGTGGATATGGAGTGGCTATAGTCTTGGATTCAGTGCATCTAGAGTTCAAGAAAGGTGACCTGGTTTGGGGAGTAACTGGTTGGGAAGAGTATAGTCTCATTACAGCAACAAAGGGACTGTCCAAAATTCAACACAGATGTGCCTCTTTCCGATTATACTGGAATTCTTGGTTAGCTGTTTTTATTTTTATTTTTCGTCTCAATTGCATCTTTGTTAAGGTTAGGTTACTGTAGTGCTACTAAAATACATACATGGTTGGCAAGTGTGAACAGCAGTTTCCCTTTTGACATCCTTAGCAGATATGATATTGTGCTAGAAAACTTGCAAAATGTGACAACTAGGTACCATAAAACTCAAGGTCCCAGAACCAGAATGTAAGAATGGGATTCTTGTGAAGAATTTTATCAGTCATGCGATCCCTACATGAAAGGCCTAATGACAAAACTCCAAGGCATTCCCCTTGATCCATCTAAGCCTGCTTTGATCAGTTATCGTATACCCATATGAGTTTTATCTCTGTTTCTATTTGCCTTTCAAGTAAAAATTTGGATTCTGTACGCCGTTTAGTGACATGGGATTGATTTTAAAGCTACATTGAAGTGAAACTATCGGATTCTTATGCAAGTCTTGTGTCAAATTACAGGACTGAAATGGCTAAGAGTCAAGAAGGTGGTAATTTTAAAGAGTCTAGATGAATTCATGTTGTACAATGATCGGGTTTCTTATGTGTGTTCGTGTGGTTACTGAATTAATTGGTGACACTTGGATTCTTGAAATCATGCAAATGCAGCCTACGGGTGGGCGAGGAGTTGCTAAAGGATTGGATTCAAGACATACAAATTTCAAGAACAATATAGTCTTATTACAGAAACACAGACACCAATCGCAATTCATGACCAAGATGTGCTTTAATCTATTTTTAAGGTTCTGTTTATGAAATTCAGAGCACTGTTTTGGGATAACAAACAGGTTTGAAAAAATAATTCCTTATTTTCTTTTCGACAATTTTCAAAATCAAACTATTGAGCTTGGAGATTGGTAAATTGAAATTTATTCAGCAGCAGGAGGCTCCGAACCAAATGCTGGAGTAGACAAAGAAGTCCTTGCATCATCCTGTGGACTGCTAGCACCAGGAGCAGTAGTACCAAACAGAGTGGAACCAAATGTTGGAGCAGGAATTGAACCAAATGCTGGAGTGGACGAAAAGTTAGCACCGAATGCTGGGGCTTCATCACCGAACATTGCAGGAGTTGAACCGAATGCTGTCGTAGACGAAGTATTTGCAGCAACGTGTGCTGTCCCAAACAGAAAGGGCATGGGAAAGTCGTTTTGCGTCTTGGACAGGAATCAGAATGCCCAAGGTGCAGACAATAGGAGCATCTAGATGTGGGCTGCCATTCATACTCAACCTTTTGATCATAGCTGTAGCCCTTGTCATCCTCAATGGTGACTGAATCAGGTAACATCTTATCAAAACCCACTTCGACACAAACTCTTGCAAAGCACAATGTCTCTCTTGATGCTGTTACAGTATCAGCAAACAAAGGTCTGCCCACCAAACTTACAATCTTGCCAAGTGCCTCAGGAGACCACAGATGCAACCTCAGATTCGGTAACTTGATCCAAATCGGTGCTGACTTCAACTCTTCGATTTCCAAGCTCATATCACGACTCCATGGCTTTAAAATAAAAGGTTTACTACCATCATAAAACCTTGGACCCTCACCCAATGCCAACTCCTTGCCACGAGCAGATTCAAAATCCAAGACAAAAACGCCTGACCCTTGTGAATATACCTTAACATTCCCGTATTTTCTCCACTCCGAGTCGATTAAATTGTTGATAAACTTGTTGAAAGAAGGTGGGCCGAAGGTTGAATCATGGCCAAGAAAATAAGCAACCACAGCGTTTTCCCATCTTTTAAACTCCGACGCAACATCCTCTTCATTAACGAGGGCCAATTCCTTTCCATTCTTGGCCACAGGTGCTACGAACTTCAATTCCATCCTCTTATGCAATCTGAATATTCAAGTAGCGTTTGATTTATGTTCCAGGTCTGGACAAGACAGAAGGGAGAAGAAGTTTGATTGATGTTTCGGGAGAAGAGAAGGGATGAGATGGAACAGATGGCGAAGAAATTCAAGAAAGGAAGTATCACAGGGCTAGATGTCAAGGAAAGTAGAAAAGCTAGACGAAAGTAGGATCTGGAATCAAAGATGTTGCAAGGTGGGTGGGACTCTGTGTTCCCTGCCATGCACTTGTATATATGGGAACTCAGGTCGGGAGGTGCTGGCGAGTAGGAAAACCAAAGCACAAAGCCTAAGCTCAACGCTAACTAATCGAAATTACAAAGTCAAAGCCTCAGTTTGACGCAAACGAGTGGGGAACATGGGGGATGATGTGATGTGTGGTTCCAATACTCTTTATTTTAAAACAAATAAATAAATAAATTATTACTTGATATTCATTTGATTTTGTCTCACACTTAGTTTGTTCACTAAGATCGTAGTTGATATTATATTTCCAGCCGGTTTTGTAAAATATCTTTTGTTTTAAATTTATTAAAATAATTATTTTAAATTTTTATCTTATTTTTAACATCAATATATTAAAATTATAAAAAATATTAAAAAAATATCAATTTTATAATAAAAAAATAATTTTAAAACATAAACAAACTTGTTCTTAAATACACACGGTGTGATTTGTGTTTTATCCCATTATATTTTTTAAAAATATTTATTTATTTAATACACAGTGTGGTTTTTGTTTTACCCCATCATATATTTGAAAGTATTTGTTTATTTAACAAAAAAATATCAGGAAATATAATTTATCCTTCAAAATTGCCCTCTAAAACATTAACAGAATTCTAAAACGTGTTGGATTTTTACTATATATAAATACATTATGAATCAAGAGACAATTC